CGCCGTCAAGGCGCTCCTCTGCCAGCCGGCGCTGGCGCCACATCTCGAGGTACACCTGCTCCTGCGCCGGCGTCGCCCCCAGCTAAACGGGTGGCGCGGACACCCACTCGCGCACCACTCCATTCCAGGAGAAGCGCGCGATGGACTCGGGCTCCGGCTGCGGCTCCGGCTTGATGGGGGACGGCGGGGCCACCAGCGGCACCACGATGCCGCCCGCCGCGGAAAGGGCAAGGGCCTGCGCCATTGCCGCCTCGTACCAGGCCTCCTCTTCCACCTCCGCTCTGCGCCGCCCGTCCTCCTCGCTCTCCTGGTAGACGGCCGCAAGGGCCGCAAGGGCCGCCTGGTAGGCGTCCTCCGCCGCATGGTCCTCCTCGCGGACGACGAGCGGCGTTGGCGGCAACGTCCGATCGACCTCGGGCACGCCCCGTCGCCTCGCCTCCTCGTACTCGAAGGCGAACCACCTCGCCCAATTGGGCGAGTCGGTTGTGTAGGCCGGGTCGGCGCGCTGCTCCGGCGTCAGCAGCGCCCGCCGGCGCCGCACCTTCTCCGCGTGAGCACGAGCCGACCGCGGCGCCGCCGGCACTGGGATCCTATCTGGATCCAGATGCCAGTCGTGCGGCAGCGTCACGTCTGAATACTGCAGAGGCTGGCGGTTCTGCCAGTGCCACTCCGCCTGGTGCACTGGCACGTTGACGCGCTGCCTCTGCCGGCGAGGCGCCGGCGCCGGCGGACGTGGGAAGAACTCGGAGGGGAAAGGGGTGGCGGGTGACTTGCCCTTGGCCTTGCTGCCGCTGGCGCCGGAGAAGAGGCCCATCTCGTTGTGGTTGTGGTGGCTAGGGTTTGCCGGCGACGAGGGAGCAAAGGTGGGCAGATGTGGACGACGAGTGTGGATGAGGACGGCCCCGCCGCACGATCGGCTTAAAAAGGACGAGCGTCGTCGCTGACGCGTGGGCCCGCCGTCATAAATTAAGCTGACCGCGTGGGCAGCGGGCAGTTGGACGGCTGCCATGTGGGGGCGCGACGGATAGCGAGAAGGCACGCGAAGCGCCCTTTCGGCGTCCGTGCCGACGCATTTGGGGCGCAAATTTGGGCCGCAAATGCGTCGGCGCGGACGCGACGCGGACGTGATTTGGGTTTGGGTCGGCGCGTTGGGCCGCCACTTTTGTCCGCGCCGACCCAAACGGACGCAGCCGGGCGAAATGGGTCGGCCCTTTGGAGTTGCTCTTAGGCCACTGATAGGCGCCGGCGGGTCGCACCGCAACCGCCCAATGAAGCCGCTACCTCTCGCGCATACGGTCTTCTTCTTCCTCGCAGTAAATGCCCCCTAGCCCCTGCTTGCTCCTCGCCCCACGTTGTCTCCGTCTTGCAGGTCCCGTCGCGGCGCTTGTCGGCTCGCCGTCGCCACACGCCGGCGCAGCTCGCCGGTAGCAAATAACTCGCCGCCGTCGAGGAATCCTAACAGCCGGATGCAGCTTACATGGTAGCAAAAAAAAAAACATGTCGACGGAAGCTTTTGCGGATGCGGGCTGCAACAAAAATCGCAGAAACCCTCAAAATCAGCTTCTGGTCCCAGCTCGGGGCTTTCGCCCGTAGACCATAGTAGCAAAAATCAGTAGCGGTTGCAGCCAAAAAAATATAATCACGATTGTGGGCAACCTCATGAAAAAGGATGTAGCAAATGAGAGTACCAGTGGTAGCAAAACCTAAAACTATTGTAGCAAAAAGCGGCGCACAAGGTTCCAGCAAACAAACATGGCAACAAAATTTTGGTTAGTTCCAGCAAAAATTGAATATGGTGGTAACAAACTGGTACACTGGTTCCAGCAAAAGAGAAACATAGTAGTAGAATCTAGGTTGGATCCAACAAAATCGAAGACGATGGTAGCAAAATATAGAGGTGGTTCCAACAAAAAAAACTCACCGGATCTCTAGCACTTGTTGCCGTCTCCACCATCGTGATACGGCTCAACTTGCGTTGAGACGATTTTGGGGTTGCCCTGATCTTTCACCACGCGCTAACAATTGTACTAGCAGAAGCAATCTTGCAGGAAAAAGAAAATCCAATGGATCTTGTTGGAATCGGAAGAGATTGTGGATGTGTAGTTAACGAGACTAATAGCAGACTAGATGGATGGATGGATTGTAGAGATGAACAACGGGCTGGAAGTACGTGGTAGTAGTAGTATAGATGCAGGGGATTAAGCTAATGACGAGTAGCGGTGGCGACGGCGACGGAGTAACTAGTAGAAGTATATGGAGAAGAACAGGAAGTTAGATCGACCCTTGTAGATCAACAACCAAACCGAGACTTGCGCCTTGACAATCAACGTTGCTAAAACACATGCAATTATTAAACCTTGATTAAGGAACGCATGAGCACATATACGCGGGCATCGCTAGATGCAGGTTCTGAGTATTTTTGCCAAAACTAAACCTAGCTTTTACATGGCCACTCGGCCTTTATTTATATAGATGCACGCAGGCAATCTGGGCTAAGCCCGTAACTCACAAGGACACACGAACGGACATGAAAAAAAACCTAATTAACTAGGAGGAGCAAAACTAATGTAGTAAATTCTTCGTATAACTAGGAGACCTTCATGTATATGGTTTAATTAATTCCAAACAAGGTGGAGTCCGAAAGTTTGGCTTGATATCTTCTGTTGGTGGTGTCGTTGGCGATTGATATTTAACTGAATGTTGTAGCATCGACTGATATGCTCGCGGTACGGGCCCAAGTATACCTGCAGCTGTTCTCCTCATGCCAGCTGCTACTCCATGTTGTGCTGGTATGATATATTTTCTACAACCAGAGTCGCATGCATCCTTCTCAGCCGTGACCTTCTTCGATGGTGCAATAATATTAGCTACATAGCTAGGGGTGATCACATCATCCACTCCCCCTTCACGCGAAACCATCCTCGGTTTCGGGGCACCCTTAAAAATCTTCTTGTGTATGGCAAATAGAGGATCAATCTTGATAGAATTATTACCCATGGGCTGCAACACACGTTTGATGCCAACATCTCGGAACACGTAAGTGTTCAACCTTCCCTCATGTATAGCATTACGATCATATTGCCACGGACGACCCAATAGTAATTGGCACACATCCATTGGCACAACGTCAAAAATGACCTCATCATAATATGTGCCAATATTGAACTTTACGCGTACCTTGTGAGTCACCTTTAGATGTCCGGAGTTGTACAACCACTCAATGCAATATGGCTGCGGATGTGGCCATGCCTTCATTCCTAAAGCATCCACCACCCGCTTGCTTATGATATTTGTGTAGCTCGCTCCATCAATAATCAACTTGCAACACTTGTTGATTCGGCATTGTGACTGAAAAATTTTCCACCGCTGTCCCGCGCTTGGAATTTGATCCTCTTTAGCTCGCTGCACCATGATGCATGGTAGATCATAATCCAAAGGATAGCACATGATAGGATTAGCTTCACTTTCCCCTTCCCTAGGCTCTTCAGACTCTGAGTCAGTTTTGTCTTCCGAAACATATCCATTATTAACAAGGAGCACTCTCTTCTTGTTCAGACAATCAATGCGTTTGTGTCCCCTACCTCCACATGTGTAACACACAATCTCACTAGTACGCATAGCAGACTGCGCACTTGAATCAGCCCTTGAAGCCATTTTGCTCGCGGCCATAGATTCTTTGCTCATCTCCTTGTGATCGGTAGCAGCTGACCTATAGGATGAAACTGGCTTGACATTATCATCGCCATGCGAATATGAACGCCGCCCCATGCTGAAATTGGTGCGTCCTTTGAAAACTTGCTTTGCTTTGACCCACTGTTCGGCATGCTCCGCTTGATGAAGAAGCTCTTGCATATCATTATACTGCATCAAATCAACACGGTCGCGTATATCTTCATTCAGCCCCTCAAAGAATCGTGTCATGGTTGCATCATCAGACTCATGCACATTAGTTCGGATCATCAAAACTTGCATCTTTTGGTAGTACTCATCCACCGGCATGGCTTCTTGTACAAG